GCTACAATGTGTGATTTGTTTTAGGGCTGTTAACTTGTATTGTTTATTTCATATTATAATGCTTGCTTGACTCTACTGTTTAATTTGTGTTATAAAAGAAATAAGATAATTTACTATGTTTGTTTCCATTCCTTTCATATTTGTTCAAATTAAAAACAGAATTCATACACATAAAAAATAACCTTTCACCTTTAAAGTTGAATAAACAATGTTTATACAGTGTAATCCTTTGTTTGCACAAGTGATCTTCCTATTCCTCATGAATGTTTACTTTTCTTACCTGATTTATAAAAAGTGGGAATAGGAGGAATGAACCGTTGACTATATATTTTTCAAATGTTGGCATAGGTTGAAGACACCCTCTGTATTCGCAAGGGACAATTATGTCATTTACAAAAAACCGGAAATACACCTGTTTTTTTCAACGAAACTAATTAAGTCACAAGAAGAACCTTGTAGGTTTTGTTTAAAACGGGGACAATTAACCATAATGGTCATTAATCTATGATATGGGAATGCTAGATAAAATCTAAAGATATAATGTTCGCCAGAATGCATTAACTCTGACTTAATTAGCTCTAGAAGTGTTAAACTTAAAATAATCTAAAAATAATTTAAAAAAATATGTTAAAGGTTAAAAAGGCTATTTGATCTTATAGGTAGGGTCTTATGATGTAGGTGAATATCAGTCATATCCAGGACCGATAACTCTGTCGATATACAATGTTGAAATGTATGCAAATTTTTGTACACGAGTTAAAATTTTCATATTGGTTTTTTTTTATGCCTGGATTTTGCAAAACGCATTGAATTAAAAAAATAATTACTATAAAGCTATAGCTTCTTCTGATTACGGTGTTTTACATGAGAGAGGTAAAATCTTAATGTAAGCACTTCGCAGGATAGGATAATAGGGCGATCGACTAAATATACAACTTACAATTTCTGCGGTCACCATCATTTATAAGTTGATAACAGTATCTCAATTTGTCAACTTGTAACCGATAGTTTTAACTCTGTGATGCCAAATATCCTTCATATCAATCTGCCATTATGACAGTTTTTGTATTTTGCTGACATTTACAATTGGACATGACTATGTAATCGCATGGCAATTGCTAAATGTATAGCAGGAGATTATTGTATGTCGACTCGGTATTATTCTGTGATGGACCGGAGCTCATGCAAGTCTTTTTATGGGCACTCCTTTTTGTATGTTTTATAATTGGACTGATGAGATATTAGAACATGATAAATATACTACCTTAAACAACAGTTCAATTGCATGTTCTGTTTAATTTGGTGCATTTAAGTTTATACAATTTAGTAACCCATATTGAGCAATATCACATGATCTCTTGCGTTATTATTCTATTTTGACTACAACAGATTTTGTTATTTTTTAATGTTTGCAAATATTTGAACTTCTTAAATCAAAGATTTTTGCTGGAGTAAATTCATTTCATTATTCTCTATCCTTAGCAACAATGATATTAAAGACCATGTCATTTACAAAAAGCCGGAAATACACCTGGATTTTTCAACGAAACTATTTAAGTCATTATTTATCTTTGGAAAACAAACAAAAGAACCTTGTAGGTTTTTCGTATCAACATGATTCATACAAATAGTTTGATCCATTTTATTGTTGCACAACTGGTTATCCCAAATATATCGCTATCAATAGTTATTGGTTTTAATGTCAATAAGTGGAATGGTGCAATATATCAAAGGTAAACCGTATTGAATTGAAGGTAAGGTTACAGCAATTTGATGTGTAGTTCTTCGTACAACTCATACCCAACCTTACCTTACCTCTGTATCTTTAAATCCTTCAAAGGATAACCATATTGCTATGTGTAATAATCCTCCACATGGTGGATATCCACAGTGATTGTTTTGTATACACATACAGAAGTGCTATTTTAATACCTTGTACTGTTCATTCAAAAAGGGACTGGCTTATGTACACCCTATTTTTTATAAATCCCAACTCTGTTGTGTTTAAAAGATAAAAAGTTTTACTCTCCTTATGAATCGATAAACCATAAATGGTCATCTGTCAGTGGTTTACAATAATAAAACGGCTATCGTTTAAAACGGGGACATTTAACCATCATAATGGTCACTAATCGATAATTATATGGGAATGCTCGATAAAATCTAAATGCATTTACTCTGAATTCATCAGTTCTAGAAGTGTTTAAACTTAAAATAATCTAAAAATAATCGAGAGGTACAAGAGGCTAGTTGATCTTATAGGTGGGGTCTAATATTGTAGGTGTATATCAGTCATATCCAGGACCGATAACTCTGTCGATATACAATGTTGAAATGTATGCAATAACATATTTTTGTGCACAAGTTTAAATTTCAATATTGTTTTTTTTTAATCCCTGGATTTTGTAAAACGCATTGATTAAAAAAAAATGACAGAGGTCTATTTAGGATAAATTGTATTTTAGCGACTTGGATAAGTCATTGCGCATCATTAGTTGTCTATTCATATACATAACGGGGCTCCAATGGGTATTCGCTGGAGAAAACACTCCTACCTATATGTACGATGCAAATCTTCCTTTTGGTCACTCGAGGAGTCCAAAAATATTTCAAATATTAAGTTCATCTGTGTGTTGTATAATGCAAAAAAATAATGTAAATTGTATTGCGTACTTAGATGATTTCCTAGTAATTGAAAATAATCATTCAAAATGTGTCTATGGTTTGTTTATCTTGATCCGCACAATAAGAGAGTTAGGTTTCAACATCAGCTAGCCAAATGTTGAAGGGCCGTCTCAAAGATTAGTATTCCTGGGAATTATCATTGATACACGTAATCTCTTGCTTACAATGCCTGCTGAAACACAGCAAGTTCTAATTCAAATGGTGTTATCATTCAAAGATCATAAGGGAGCAAGTATTAAACACCTGCAATATTTGTGTGGAAAACTTAATTGGGCATGTCAAATGGTAAAAAGTGGGAGGAAGTTTGTTAGGAGATTAATCGATGATTTAGTACTTACAAATAATAATAGAAATGCAAAAGTTTTATTGTCAAAGGAATTCTTTGCTGATAATGATTGGTGGATTGACTTTATGAGTAATTTTAATGGATCTGTAAAATTTTTAGATGTATAAAAAGTAACTTCTTTACAGACTGACAGTTCATCAGGAGGGGGCGCAGGCTATTTATTATGAAGGATATTATTTCTACGTTAACTGGGCAGTAGATTTCCCGGAAATGCAAAATTACCATATCAACATTAAAGAAACAATGGCTGTGGTACTATCAGTGGTCAGATGGGGTCATTTGTGGGAAAATAAAACAGATGTAGTTTGTAGACAATATGACCACAAAGTGCGTTATTAATAAAGGAACTTCGAAGAATAAATGTTTGATGGTATATCTAAGATTACTATTTTGGTGTCAGTCGTGTATAACTTTGATATAAAGGCAAAATTTATAAGTGGACGAAATAATGTAATTGCAGACGCGGCATCCAGATTACATGAACACGGCCAATTGACAAAACAAGTTGCTTTCTTTAAAAAAAGAAAAGCAATATGTGAACCTAAGAACGCTGACTGCCGGGTCACCAACAGATTGTTGCTGAATTTCATGTTTGCTTTTGAATTGAAATAATTGACTGTGAATAGAAGAAGCCAGTTGAAAGTGTATATTTACAGCTACTATTCGAATATACATTTTAAAGCACGACTATATTATTTATTACTTGGGAATGTACATAATTTTTCTGATTATAACCCTTTTGCAAATCAGATAAAACTAATTAAGTCATTATTTATTTTTGGAAAAAAAAACCAGAAGAACCTTGTAGGTTTTGTTTAAAACGGGGACATTTAACCATAATGGTCATTAATCTATGATATGGGAATGCTAGATAAATTCAAAAGATATAATGTTCGCCAGAATGCATTAACTCTGACTTCATTAGCTCTAGAAGTGTTAAACTTAAAATAATCTAAAAATAATTTTAAAAAGCTATTTGATCTTATAAGGTGGGGTCTTATGATGTAGGTGAATATCAGTAATATCCAGGACCGATAACTCTGTCGATATACAATGTTGAAATGTATGCAATAAAATATATTTGTACAAAGTTAAAATTTTCATATTGGTTTTTTTTATGTCAGGATTTTGCAAAACGCATTGAATTAAAAAACTATTACTATATAGCTATAGCTTCTTCTGATTACGGTGTTTTACATGAGAGAGGTAAAATTTTAATGTAAGCACTTCGCAGGATAGAATAATAGGGCGATCGACTAAATTTACCACTTACAAGTTCTGCGGTCACCATCATTTGTTGGTTGATAACAGTATCTCAATTTGTCAACTTGTAACCGATAGTTTTTATTCTGTGATGCCAATCTGCCATTATGACAGTTTTTGTATTTTTCTGACAACTACAATTGGACATGACTATGTAATTGCATGGCAATTGCTAAATGTATAGCAGGAGATAATTGAATGTCGACTCAGTATTACTCTGTGATGGACCGGAACTCATGCAAGTCTTTTTATGGGCACTCCTTTTTGTATGTTTTATAATTGGACTGATGAGATATTAGAACATGATAAATATACTACCTTAAACAACAGTTCAATTGCATGTTCTGTTTAATTTGGTCCATTTAAATTTATACAATTTAGTAACCAATATTGAGCAATATCACATGATCTCTTGCGTTATTATTCTATTTTGACTACAACAGTTTTTGTTATTTTCAAATGTTTGCAAATATTTGAACTTCTTAAATCAAAGATTTTGCTGGAGTAAACTCTTTTCATTATGTTCTATCCTTAGCAACAATGATATTAAAGACCATGTCAAACCAAAGTATTAGCGGTAATAATACCTATGATTTCTTTATCAAACACAAATTCAAATTATCTCTCAGACTCTATAGTTTTGCATACTCTAAATATTCATTAGACTTTTTCGGAAGAAAAAAACAAGAAGAGAAAACATACATACCTCTGTATTCGCAAGGGACAATTATGTCATTTACAAAAAGCCGGATATACACCTGGATTTTTCAACGAAACTATTTAAGTCATTTTTTATCTTTGGAAAACAAACAGAAGAACCTTGTAGGTTTTTCGTATCGACAAGATTCATACAAATAATTTGATCCATTTTATTGTTGCACAACTGGTTATCCCAAATATATCGCTATCAATAGTTATTGGTTTTAATGTCAATAAGTGGACTGGTGCAATATATCAAAGGTAAACCGTATTGAATTGAAGGTAAAGTTACAGCAGTTTGATCTGAGTTCTTCGTACAACTCATACCCAACCTTACATTACCTCTGTATCTTTAAATCCTTCAAAGGATAACCATATTGCTATGTGTAATAATCCTCCACATGGTGGATATCCACAGTGATTGTTTTGTATAAACATACAGAAGTGCTATTTTAATACCTTTCACTGTTCATTAAAAAAGGGACTGACTTATGTACACCCTATTTTTTATAAATCCCAACTCTGTTGTGTTTAAAAGATCAAAAGTTCTACTCTCCTTATGAATCGATAAACCATAAATGGTCATCTGTCAGTGGTTTACAATAATAAAACGGCTATCGTTTAAAACGGGGACATTTAACCATCATAATGGTCACTAATCTATAATTATACGGGAATGCTCGATAAAATCTAAATGCATTGCCTCTGACTTCATCAGTTCTAGAAGTGTTTAAACTTAAAATAATCTAAAAATAATCTAAAAATAATCGAAAGGTACAAAAGGCTAGTTGATCTTATAGGTGGGGTCTAATATTGTAGGTGTATATCAGTCATATCCAGGACCGATAACTCTGTCGATATACAGTGTTGAAATGTATGCAGTAACATATTTTTGTACACAAGTTAAAATTTCAATATTGTTTTTTTTTAATCCCTGGATTTTGTAAAACACATTGATTAAAAAAAAATGACAGAAGGTCTATTTAGGATAAATTGTATTTTAGCGACTTGGATAAGTCATTGCGCGTCATTAGTTGTCTATTCATACATATAACGGGGCTCCAATGGGTATTCGCTGGAGAAAACACTCCTACCTATATGTACGATGCAAATCTTCCTTTTGGTCACTCGAGGAGTCCAAAAATATTTCAAATGTTAAGTTCATCTGTGTGTTGTATAATGCAAAAAAATAATGTAAATTGTATTGCGTACTTAGATGATTTCCTGGTAATTGAAAATAATCATTCAAAATGTGTCTATGGTTTGTTTATCTTGATCCGCACATCAGAGAGTTAGGTTTCAACATCAGCTAGCCAAATGTTGAAGGGCCGTCTCAAAGATTAGTATTCCTCGGAATTATCATTGATACACGTAATCTCTCGCTTACAATGTTTGCTGAAACACAGCAAGTTCTAAATCAAATGGTGTTGTCATTCAAAGATCATTAGAGAGCAAGTATTAAACACCTTCAATCTTTGTGAGGAAAACTTAATTGGGCATGTCAAATGGTAAAAAGTGGGAGGAAGTTTGTTAGGAGATTAATCGATGATTTAGTACTTACAAATAATAATAGAAATGCAAAAGTTTTATTGTCAAAGGGATTCTTTGCTGATAATGATTGGTGAATTGACTTTATGAGTAATTTTAATGGATCTGTAAAATTTTTAGATGTACAAAAAGTAACTTCCTTACAGACTGACAGTTCATCAGGAGAGGGCACAGGCTATTATGAAGGAGATTATTTCTACGTTAACTGGGCAGTAGATTTTCCGGAAATGCAAAATTACCATATCAACATTAAAGAAACAATGGCTGTGGTACTAGCAGTAGTCAGATGGGGTTATTTCTGGGAAAAAAACCAGATGTAGTTTGTACAGACAATATGACCACGAAGTGCGTTATTAATAAAGGAACTTCGAAGAAAATAAAAGAAGAGAGGTGAAATAAACTTTTGGATGTTGTATTTTAACTGATTTTGATATGGCAAAAGTGATTAGGCCAGGTGCAAAAAGGTGATATTTATAGTTTTCGGAACATCTCTTGACTTGTCCATAGGGGTATGGATGTGTATTGGCTAAATTTGTAAGATACTGGGGAGCAATCTTTCTGAATGTTGGATGTATATTTGGACTAGTACTGTACTTTACACACACAAAATAGTTGACAGAAAGATTCGGTGCATTTTTTTTAAATGAAACAAAACGTTATAAAGAACTAATAGAGGAATTTAATTGTGGTCTATGGCCTAAGAGGTGAATTCATGAAATATTGAATTTGTACTTTGACAACTTCCCTGAATGATTTATTGGTATTAATTTGTCAACCTACATGAGAATAAATGATTTCCACTTTTTTTGATAGAAATTTTGTAAAAAAAGTGATATTTCAGCCTACATGCCCAAAATTGAACTTTTTCAGTTGTTTCAATATTTTTACGAAAGTAGCATGCTTACTTTCTCTCTGACAGGCTTTTCTGATTTTCTATTTGTGTTTGTGGTAGCTAATGTAGATGTTTAACTCATTTTTGAACACTGAACAAACAAAAAAAAGTAGATAAAATCAGAATAAGAGTACAAAATGTGCTGCTTTAATCATGTTAATGGTCTTAATCTAACGGTCAGTATGAAGCAAGTGAAAAATGAGGTTTCAATGCACATACAAGTTGAATTCCTTTTAGCAGATTTCACTGAATCTGTATCAAAAGCACTTGTTACTGGTTGTTTGACCTTGTCTGTTTCACAGACTACCTTTATTTTCTTTTGTTTGATAGCTAGTGGTTAAAATATTGAGGCTGAAATTTCATGCCGGTTTTAAAAAGTACAGTAAATAACTTTGAAGCAGACCATACTGTCTACATATATAGTTGAAAGTGACAGTCTTGTTACATCCAGGCTCCATGTTTTATCACATCTAAGCAAAGAATTGAGCAAAAAGAAGCATATCTCCATCTCCCATATCATTTACATGCTTTTTAATATGCAAATGTGGGAAACGACCTAAATTGACAACCTGTTTTTTTAAGCTTGACATTGCTGAAGACCATTTTATTCACATGTGTTATGCTATTTGAAACTTATATTTCCATTAAAAGTACATTTATAACATGTAAAAGGTTTTTTTATAAATTAACAACTCCAGAAAATTGTGGTAAGTGAAAAATATTACATTTCATATAAGGCCTCACTTCATTTGAAAACCTCTATTTTTTGGCACAGGCTCATATAAAATTAACTTCTAGCCATTTTTTATAAGTCTGAAACATGAAGTATGCTATCTGTTGCTTTTAATAGGTGATAACTGATACATAGAGATATTAAAAAGTGTATGTTTTTGTATATTATGGTTTTTAGAAGCCCAAATTTAATAGTTGAAATTGTTCTAATTCAACGCCACAATTCAGCACCCAAAGTTCAGATATAACAAATACAACATTATTTATAATTGGTATTATATGGCTTTGAAACTTTGTAAAAGAGGGACGAAAGATACCAGAGGGACAGTCAAACTCATAGATCGAAAACAAACTGACAACGCCATGGCCAAAAATAAAAAGACAAACAGACAAATAATAGTACAGATGACACAACATAGAAAACTAAAGACTTAGCAACACGAACCCAACCAAAAACTGGAGGTGATCTCAGGTGCTCCGGAAGGGTAGGCAGATCCTGCTCCACATGTGGCACCCGTCGTGTAAACTGTTTCATAATACACTAAGCTTAAATCATGCCAAGTTTTATTAGAATTGGTCAAGTTTTAGACCCCTAATAGGCTGAAGACAACAATCAATAACCCTGCTTTTAGTTGTCCACGAATATAGTTCCTTTTAATTAGATTGTATTTTTTCTTAATTCTTTTTCTTTCCCTTCCTCACTTATTTCTTAGTTTGTTTGGGGTGGAAACGAAAAAAGAGAGGTGAAATAAACTTTTGGATGTTGTATTTTAACTGATTTTGATATGGAAAGAGTGATTAGGCTAGGTGCAAAAAGGTGATATGTATAGTTTTCGGAACATCTCTTGACTTGTCCATAGGGGTATGGATGTGTATTGGCTAAATTTGTAAGATACTGGGGAGCAATCTTTCTGAATGTTGGATATATGTTTGGACTAGTACTGTACTTTACACACACAAAATATTTGACAAAAAGATTCGGTGCATTTTTTTTAATGAAACAAAACGTTATAAAGAACTAATAAAGGAATTTAATTGTGGTCTGTGGCCTAAGAGGTGAATTCATGAAAAATTGAATTTGTACTTTGACAACTTCCCTGAATGATCTATTGGTATTAATTTGTCAAACTACATGAGAATAAATGATTTCCACTTTTATGTGATAGAAATTTTGTAAAAAAGTGTCATTTCAGCCTACATCCCCAAAATTGAACTTTTTCAGTTGTTTCAATATTTTTACAAAAGTAGCATGCTTACTTTCTCTCTGACAGGTTTTTCTGATTTTCTATTTGTGTTTGTGGTTTCTAATGTAGATGTTTAACTCATTTTTGAACACTGAACACACAAAAAAAGTAGATAAAATCAGAATAAGAGTACAAAATGTGCTGCTTTAATGGTCTTAGTCTAACAGTCAGTATGAAGCAAGTGAAAAATGAGGTTCTATGCACATACAAGTTGAATTCCTTTTAGCAGATTTCACTGAATCTGTATCAAAAGCACTTGTTACTGGTTGTTTGACCTTGTCTGTTTCACAGACTACCTTTATTTTCTTTTGTTTGATAGCTAGTGGTTAAAATATTTGCCTTTTGAGGCTGAAATTTCATGCCGGTTTTAAAAAGTACAGTAAATAACTTTGCAGCAGACCATACTGTCTACATATATAGTTGAAAGTGACAGTCTTGTTACATCCAGGCTCCATGTTTTATCATATCTAAGCAAAGAATTGAGCAAAAAGAAGCATATCTCCATCTCCCATATCATTTACATGCTTTTTAATATGCAAATGTGGGGAACGACCTAAATTGATAACAGGTTTTTTTAAGCTTGACATTGCTGAAGACCATTTTATTCACATGTGTTATGCTATTTGAAACTTATATTTC